TGAAAAAGTCAACACCTTTCCAATGAAATATCAGGTGTTCTGTATTTACATACATTCTAAAATTTGGACCTCTTTGTAATGTTTTTAGATCCAAACTTAAAATAGACGACATAAAAGAAGCCAACCAAGCATTACAGGTGAGTAAAAAGGTTTGTCAGGCCGGGCGGTGGTGGCGAACGCCTTTAATCCCAGCACTCGGGAGGCAGAGGCAGGCGGATCTCTGTGAGTTCGAGGCCAGCCTGGTCTCCAAAGCGAGTACCAGGAAAGGCGCAAAGCCACACAGAGAAACCCTGTCTCGAAAAACTCGAAAAAAAAAAAAAAAAAAAAAAAAAAAAAAAAGGTTTGTCAGTACCGCTGAAGGCTCAAGTCAGGAAAGCTCAACTGTTTGGAGACGGGGGTGTGGGGAAGACCTTGGTCTGGTCCCAGCGCCAGAAGGGTGCATACAAATAAATCCCAGAGTACAGAGGTGGCAGCACTGAATGGGAGTGTGGGTGGTGCTATTCTTTCTTCATTTTTCTTTTGCTTTTTTGAGACATGGTTTCTCTCTGTTAACAGCCCTGGCTGCCCTGGAACTTGCTCTGTAGACCAGACTGGCCTCGAACTCACAGAGAGCTCTGCCTTCCTCTGCCTCCAGAGGACTGGGATGAAGACTACCATCTCTGTTCTTACTGAAATATTTTAAAAGGTGGAAATGCATTACTTAGTGCCCACTAAAGGATGGATTAATGATCTGGATGAAAAAATCTGGATGAAAAACTTTAGATGACATATCCTTGATGACTCTAAATTTACCCTTCTAGAATAGGCTTCTGATGCATACAAGTTGCTTTGACAAGGCTAGAATGTGTGTTACTTTGGGTGTGTCTGAAAGAATCCTCCTATGACATGGTATTATCAAGTCAGCACTTCAGTGTCTGTGATGATTTTCTATTCCAAATTACCCTTTAATTTTTTAATCCAAGTGTTACATGAAAATAGTTATTCAAAAAGTCCTGGAGCCTAGGTTATATAATGCCAGCCAGCACTCTGAACCAGTTTTTAAAAAAAAGAGAGAGACTAAAATGTGTTGGCTCTCTCAGAACTGGGGTTACAGAAGATTGTGAGCCACGTGGATGCTGGGAATTGAACTTGGGTTCTCTGGAAGAACAGCAGCACTCTTAATGCCATTGCCCCAGCCCCCATTCTAAAAAGATTCCAAATAACAAAAATGTTTGCTCTCTTGCCTTTAACCCACCTTAGCTCCTGCTCCAAAAGGGAGCTGCTTCCAGTTCTTGCAGCTATTCCCTCTGGCATCTAGCTGTGTTCAAAACAATGTGCAATTCCTACGGCCTCCCTTTTTGTAGTACTGGCAATGGACCTGAAGGGACAGCACATGCCAGGCGAACCCTGTACTACCAAGCCATGCTGTAGTGTGTTTTCTCACCTTGCTATGGATGTGGTGGGACATCTTTTCCTTAAGTGTCCTCAGAAAGCTTTTTTCCTAGACAGGATCTCACTGTAACCCTGGCTGGCCTCAAACTCAGGAATCCTCTTGCCTCTTAAGTGCCGGGATTAAAGGCAGTCGTCACCACACCCTATTATTTCTCCTGATGTCAACTGCCTGTCACTTCATTTAACATTCTTTGATGACAACACAGCACCTCTATCAAATGTCCCCTGAAAAAGTTAGGTGGCTCATTACTTTGTCTTGGAAGTCTGGCCCCCTGCCCACATCTGGCCTTGGCCCCTCTGTCCTGACATTTCTAAGTTCCTCTGACCTTTCTCTGAGAGCTGTTGCCTGAACCTGGTACCTTCTTTCTTGAGTTCCTTGATTTTGAACAGAAGTGGCCCCCTGAAAAATGATAAATCATAGGAATTCTGCCTTTTCTGTTTCGTGCTTTTAAGCTAAGTGCAAGTGTTAACTGATTTGAACAGGAACATTCATCTTTTTCCTATTAGGGACTGGTCTGGCTGAAAGACAAAGAGGCAACACACTGTAAGCTTTGTGAGAAGGAATTTTCACTCTCCAAAAGAAAGGTAAGAGGGGTGAAAGTGAGTCCAAACATTTTGGCAACAAAAATGGCTTCTAACTCAAGTTTTTTTTTTTTTTCCTTCCCAATTTTTCCATTTAATAGCACCACTGTAGAAACTGCGGGGAAATTTTCTGTAATGCCTGCTCTGACAACGAGCTGCCTTTGCCTTCTTCACCAAAGCCAGTGCGAGTCTGTGATTCCTGTCATGCAATACTCATTCAGAGATGCTCCTCTAATGTGCCGTGACACTAGAACTCTATCTTCGTGCACAGAAGCACCTGCCGTGAGTGTGAGGACCGAGTGTCCAGTCAGCACTGTGCCTCTCCTCCAGCTAACACCCAGGATTCTAAGTTGTATAGTTAGTATTCAGTTTCTGCACTTACTCAGATTTTAAGATAGCATGTTTTATCACTACTTGGAACAGTCATGTAACCCTTAAGGAAAGGCCAGATAGCAGAGCTAATAATGCACATTTGCCTTATCTTCTAGAGGCCTTCTTGAGAACAAGGCCACAGCTTGTTTCTGAACTGTCAAGTTGGCACCGATGGTGCCTGTAATTCTCTTAACGCACTTTAAAGCTTCACAATTCTCAGAGGAAGACTGGAAATGCACTCATTTTGTGATATGCCAATTGAACATCCTTTGTTGAAACAAAAGTTGTCCATTTTTGACCATGAACTCATGGACTTCCTTGCCTCAGCTTTGAAGTGCTGGGGTCATAGGTGTGTGCCTCCATATGAGGCCTGTATAGTCTTCATTGTCTGGTAAGGTTCTAACTTAATTGTATTTATTTGTTCTTTTCCCCTCGTCTACAATGGAAAAGGCCAATAGTTTTTTCCCCCCATACCTTTCTTTTTTTTGCTTGCCTACACCTTTCATATAGTGGATTAAAGGACCAGCTTTCCCTTCTACTCTTTAAGGAATGTTATATATAACCACCATCCTCGTCACAGATGCTACTTTTTGTAAAGGGTTGGACCCCAAAGACCCCACAAGCTTTTAAAGATTCTAAGCATTAAAAATAAGAGCATTTAGCCAGTCGGTGGTGGTGCACGTTTTTAATCCCAGCATTCTGGAGGCAGAGCCAGGCAGATCTCTGTGAGTTTGAGGCCAGCCTGGTCTACAGAGCAAGCTCTAGGACAGGCACCAAAACTACAGAGAGAAACCCTGTCTCAAAATACTGAAACAATAACAACAAAAAAAGAGCATTTAAAACTCTGCCTATGCAGTGACATAATTAAGTCCCCCTGCCCCCAATTCTCTTAGGAAACTTCTAGCATTACATTCCAGTGTTTACACCTATCCACAGTAGAATTTCACCCCATGTATCAAGTACCTTTATGCTGTGGACTTAGGCAGATAGTAGTTTCTTTTTTTCCAGCAGAAAAACATTTAAGTTACTTAAACCATGACCATTCAGGATCTTAAATGTATTAATTTCTGGTCTTGCACTTTTAAATCTATAAGCTCTCCACAGATTTTTACATTCCTAAAGACAGTTTAGTGATTGGGCACTTTCCTGATCCTAATTCTTCAGGATCTTTTCATCTGTTGTATTTCAGTAAATTTTATAAATTGTCAAAATGACAACATCAGTATTTTCACCAGCTTCTGGGGCCAACTTAAATTAGATCTGTCAGATTTTGAGGCGTCCCATTTTGGAAACAGGGACTCATGTAACCTAAGTTGGCCTCTAACTTGGTGTGTAGCAGATGACCTTGAACTGATTCTCTGACCTCCATACCTCCCAGCTGCTGAGATTACAACTGTGTGCTGTTTTATGTGGTGCTGGGGATAGAACCCCTGGCTTTGTGCAGGTTGGCCAGGTATTCTACCAACTGAGCTACACTCCCTCCTCCCCGCCGATGTCATTTGTTGAGTACTGACAGAAATGGCCTTAAAACAGAATTAAGATGGTAAGGCAGGAAGGCCACAAGTTCAAGGCCACCCTGGTTCATCCCTAGAGCTCCAGATATATGAAACAGTGAAAACCTGGCTCAGAAACGAAAAATTATATTCTTGAAGCATTTTGTATTGATGGGGATAGACTAATAACATTTTTATGACTGTTGAAAGTGAGCATAAATGAAAAAACTCCAAATATTTTATTATGTGCTTTCTGTCACAAACATGGGCCTTTTCTGGGGCAGCATTAACTTGATCCCCACTGTCTAGGATGAGGCTATAGCTCAGTGGTAAAATGTTTGTTTACTGTGGATGGTAAAGCCCTGGGTTCTCAATCCACAGCACTACCACCAAACAAAATCACACAATCTCAGTTTAGGATACCCCATTCATTACAAACCATTCCCAAGCTGCTGTCATTCCCTTACTTACCCCTAGCCAGCACTCCCACAAAGATATGATCATGGTGCCAAGGAATTGTAATTCAAATCTGTATGTTTTTAAAATAAATGTGACTTTTATAAAACAAAGTTTTGAGAAACTAACAATGACTTTTATTGCTTTAAATTTTTATCTGTCTATGTGTGTCTGTGTGAGTGTATGCCACATGTGTGCAGGTGGCCTAGGAGGCCAGAAAAAGGTACTGGATTCACTGGAGCTACAGTGAGTTGTGATCTGCCTGATGTGGGTGCTGGGAACCAAACTCAGGTCCTCTGAATGAGCAGCAAGTGCTCTTAACCACTGAATCACCTCTGCAGCCACCTCCTTTGAGATTTAAGAAGGTAACCCTTGAAGTGCTTTTGACCCCTGTGCCAGGCATGCAGACTAGCTCATTAGTGTATAGGCTCTAGGTGAAACCCTGTCCCAAACCAAAGAGAGAAATTCACTGTTTCAGGACTCTAGGCTCCAGGTAACAAGCTGTGGCACTCCTTTTACAGTCACTTTCTCAGAAATCTCAATTTGGCATCCGTGGTACTTGTCCCTACCTCCTGAGGGCTGGGATTAAAGGCCTGTGGCACCACACTTTCTAGCAATGTGTATTATAACCAATAACTGACACAAAGCATTCTAGGACAGACAACGTTCCTTTATCTCCCATGTTAACATTTATTACATGAATAACATTGCTAGCAAAAACAAGTAACAAGTTCAATAATGGAGTTCACATTGACAGGTTTCAATTTGATCCATTAGCCAATTTGGGGAAAAGCCACATTGAATGAAGTGGTAAGATCAGAAAGCACCGTTTCCTTGCTACACAGAACTTACATACTCAAAGCCAGTATCAGATGCAGCACTGTTTTACACTTTCCTAAGTATAGTCACTTAGACAGTTGAAAGCCCCTGTCTTCTTGGGTGAGAAACTAAAAGCACACGTAAGAACACACCCATCACAGTAAATACTTGCATATTTACACCGACTTCTTCTGCCACCATCGACAACTCTTAGCTACTCCAACAAACTCAAATTTTGGGAACATTTTTGGTATCTTGGTCAAGTGTTACGAGGATTTTTAAATCTAGGGCTGTAATTTCAACTAATACTTCCAACCTCTGGGTTTATAATTCATAACACAATTGGGACTATTTAGATTCCAGATACCCCTTAAATTATTCAGAGCTATGCTTGATAAATAAGAGTGAAAATACAGAATTAACTGAACTTACATTCCTGAAGCCACCTGAATGCATCCTTAGGCTTTTTATTTACAGTGTGTCCAGGAGAGAAAGTTAGCTAACTACTCAAGCTCTAGTCTAGATGTCTGCTTAAGACTTGCAGTCTTAGCCTCTCACATTGCACTATGCTACTTTTTGTAGAGCTAACAGTAAAATACATCATCCCAAATCTTAGGAAGGCAGCACATCTTTAAGAGTACTTATATATAAAAAGTAGCAACATCAGTGGTTTCAATATAAAAATTTATTTTAAGTCAAAGTATGCAACAAATAAAACCTACAGAAAACAGATTTTCCCATCACAATCTGTTGCTTTACCAAATAATATCTTGAAAACACATTCCTTCAGTCATTATAAAGTTCTTGAAATACAAAAGAAATTCAATCTGTAAGAAAGTCTAGTAGACAGATGCTGTTGTTAGGACTTGTACGTTGGTGGTGTTTTCAGTACATCCCACGCCATCCACCTCCACTCATTCCACCTTGCCCATAGTAACCTCCACTGCCTCCACCACCACGACCTTAAGAAGACATTAAGAACCACCATCAGACGTCCATGCACATTATAATAGTTATATTTTAAGTGAAAGACATTGCCACAATACAAACAGACTTACCGTAACCTCCCAAGCCATCAGGAGTGCCGTATCCTCCACTGTAGTTGTTCCCCATTCCCATTCTCCCGACAGAGCCATAGCCTCCTTGATTATCTGCACATTAAAAAAAAGTAACAGAAGATGGTTTCCAAAGTAGCCAACACTGCCTATTCCAAAGTTTATGAACCCAGGTTTGGGAGGGATATGCTGAAGCACCAAGGCAAGAGGATTATGAGTTTCAGGCCAGCCTGGACTACAGAGCAAGATGCCCCCATCTCAAATACAAAACTATACATACCCATTCCATCTCTGCCATAGCCTCCCATTCCGGAACCTCCCATTCCAGAGCCACCTCCAGGAGTGGAATTCAAGAAGAGTTCAATATATCGATGTTCTTTAAAAAAAGAAGAGTGGAAAAAGGTAAGAATAGGAGAGAGAGGGATATTCGATCAAATGTACTAATTAAAGGTCAATCAGCTAGTATTTAAAGCAGGCTTATCCGTAAATATAGGACTAGATACAGGACTATATAAGCAGCCATTAAAGTCTAGACATTAATAGGTGAAATGATTTTAAGACCTAGGATCTACCAAAGACATTTTTTTTTTTTTTAAAGATTTATTTATTGATTATGTATACAGTGTTCTGCCTGCACATATGTCTACAGGCCAGAAGAGGGCACCAGATCTCATTACAGATGGTTGTGAGCCACCATGTGGTTGCTGGGAATTGAACTCAGGACCTCTGGAAGAGCAGCTAGTGCTCTTAACCTCTGAGCCACCTCTCCAGCCCCTACCAAAGACATTTTAACAAGTAATGATTTTATGAACTGCACACGCCTATAAAACAGAAGCATGCCAAAGACACCACTTACGCATGTTGTTTTTATCTTTAGACATGGCAGCCACTGCATCTTCATGGGTCACAAACTCTACATCTGCCTCTCCTGTTGCTCTGCCATCGGCTCCAATGTCAATATGAACTCGGATTGGATTGAGTGGTGAGAAGAACTAAATAAAAGTTAATGACTTTTAAATTCCAGTTATTTAAAACCAGCACATCCCTTCATTTTCTCCCTAATCCACTAAAATAAACTACTGAGGGTCTACAAAGGCTCTAGCATTGTGGAGGTAGGTTAAGTCACCCTTTGCTACAGAGGTGGTCAACTTGGCTCACATAGGGAAGGAATACTTTTTTAAAATGCAAAGTACTTACTGCTTTTGAAGTAAGGCAATACTAAATTTTAAATGAAGTTTGGGGTTGTTTGAGACCCTACCACTAAAGGCAAATTCCTACCTGATTGACTCTATTCTTAACTGAGCTTTTTTGATGCATTTTTTTAAACTGTTTAAAAATAATGTCATGTAGGTCAGCACATAATGGGCACAAAACCTATGTGCATATTAGGCAAATAATCTATCACTAAGTGACAAGCTTAGTCTGAATCTTAATAAAAGAGATAAGGCATGGTGGCTGCCTGTATTTCCAACATGCTCCAAGTCAAGTTAGGACTTCTAAATTCTAGTCCAGTTTGGGCTACAATGAGACCTCCCCGCCAAGAATAATAAATAAAAAATACCCACTATATACCACTTACATTAGCAATATCATTTTCAGTCGCACGAAAAGGCAGCCCTCTCATGTGCACAAAATGACCACCATGGAACCCTGAACTCGCATCACCAGCTCCACCATAGCCATGTCCTCCCATGCCTAGATTATAAACCATGGTGTATTCATGTAAGTATACACATATCAATCAACACCAGTGCAGTGACACAAGTCTCCATTAACCCATCAAAGTTGCCTAATTACTACCGGACCCTTACAAAGAAAACAGCACAGACAATTTTCTTAGTTTACCTCTTCCATCTCTCATCCTGTCATCAAAGCCATCATTTCCATAGCCATAATTATTATAGCCACCATAGTCATCAAAACCTCCATAGCCTGTGCAAATGTAAGGAAAAAGAAATACCATTCTGAGCAATTTATTTTGTAAGCTAGTTTACAGAATCATTTGCGGTCAACAGTCTTAGCTTCTTCATTAATGTTTTCAGCTTAATGCATATGAGAAAAGCAGTTAACCCTTGATGGGAATGCAAACATCCACAGGATAAATTCAAACACAACATGAAAACCAAATTTCATTGTTATGCCAAGAAGAAACATGCCAGTTATCTTTATTTTTATTTCTACATTAAGTTTTCTAGGTGTTAATATGTGCATCAATCAAGTTCCACAGTGGAAATCCCATAATTTCATGAACAGGTTTTAAAACCTCGTAGGTACTGAAATTACTGCCATTTCTGTATTTCTTGACAAAGTGTCAGGAACATCAAGAAAATGACAACAGAACCTTTGTTCATTAGATACACATACCACCATCATATCCATCACCTCCTCGTCGCATTCTGTCATACATACTTCCACGCCCAGCTCCATAATAACCCCCTCTTCCTCCTATTGGTCTATCATATGGTCCCGGTCGCTGTCCCAGCAGTCTTCTTGGTGGATCATAAAATCCTTTGATTTCACTCCTGCTACTCCTGAAGATCTCAATATACCTATGTAAAAAGGGTTAAAGTACAAGCTTCAGCACAGACGTATTAGAAAGTAAATTAGATACTGGGCAAAATACAGTAAGTTTGTCTATATCTAGGAACATAACCCAATTTAAATTGTCTAAAGAAACCATAAGGTAACATTTTTACACCTACAAACTTAAATAATTAAATATTTAAGTTTTACAGAGACAAATGAGTCATTTGAAAACACTGAATTATGAATATATTTTTAGTTTGTTTCCTTTAGTACAAGATAGGTATGTAAGAAAAACAAGTGATTATACAAAAACAAATTTAACAACATCCTACAAAGAAATGGAAACAATCTAATTTTAATTTAAACTATTAGCATTAATTCCCCACCCAAATCTGTAGTTTCCATGTTAAATATAGGTAATTATCAATTCTTTAAAACTACCCCAGAAAAATGTTATGGTTACCCCCCCATTTAAGCAATAGTGACCCACAACCCCCAAAAATAAAAATTGAACACCATCCCAAACTCTCCATCCCCACCTGTGCCCTATTCTTTCCTTGTGTTTCCCCAGAGCATTTTCTGCTATCTCCTTTGAAGCAAACTGCACGAAGGCCTCCCCTGTGCTTCTCCCCTGGTAGTCCATCGTCAATGTTATCCCATTTGGCACGATTTCCAACCCTTTAACCCAAGGACAAATACCCCATCAAGGGGAACAGTGTTAAAGGCTGAAACATTCCCATCTGAATCAAATATTTAAAACAAGTCTAAACAAAACAAAACAAAACGCTTAGTTTCCCATCACCCCATAATACAAATGGAATATTTTTCAAATATCACTGGATTAAATATTTTCTGTGACTAGTGTTTTAAAATTATACTTCTAAAAACCCACTACATGAAAAAACTACAAATCATTTAACTGTGCTCCCAATGCTAACTCATAGCCCATGTCATCACAGTTATTCTCAGTTAACTATACTATACATCAATCAACGTTTACATAGCCTACACATTCTCTATTGAATATTAACTGGAGCACATTTCTCATTTTATTATATAACCCAGATTATCACAAAATTAAGTTGCAAAATCAAATGGGTTCTATAAATGAAAAACCATCTAATAAAAAACATATAATTCAACTACTACTAAACTTTTACTAGTGCTAGAGGTACCTTGAAAGAACTGAACTATCTCCTCTTTGCTGCAACCAAATGGCAGTCCTCGAAGTCGCACTGTCCCATCACTAGCGTCACTTGGACCGTTATGTCTCATAACCCAATCCATTTCAATACCGCTTGACTTAATTGCTATGAAAACAAACAAGCACATAAGGCAGTCAATCACAACACACTCTTACCAAGATTGAACACCTCTCCCAAGTGTCACAGAATGCACAGAATGCATGCAAGGTGACTCCTGCAACAATCAGCAACAGTACCCTATTAACACTCTACTTTGGGGTGGGGTAGGGAAAGGTAATGAAGCTCACCCCTCTTCTACCAAACAACCCTGACGGTCTAATAAAAGTTTGAAGAATTCTACCATCAGAGTAAGATTTGTTGTAACACACTTGATCCTTTTCCTCATTCTACTTTTTTTTTTAACTTTTCAAACTTCAATATTGACCCAAAGCTGTGCAATTTCTTTTTGGTTTTGCAGACACGGTGTCGGTGTACCCACTATACTTAGCTTGTTTCTGTTTCCAAAACAAGGGTCTAACTTAGTAGCCCAGGTTAGCAGTCTTGCCTCAGCTGTGAGTGCTAAGATTAGCTAAGTCACCTGTCCAAATGCAAAATGTTTAAGAACAATCACATGAAAGGTATATTATATAGTCGTCTATTCATACTGAGGTTTGAATGTTAAAAAAAAAGAAAATGACAGCAGCCAGGTAGACCTCAAGGTCATCTTTGACTACACCAGCAACTGGAGGGTAGCCTGGGCTGTACAAGACCCTGTTTCAAAAACAAAGGGAAACAAGTAAAAGGCTACTCAAAACAAATGCTATGCGGACTATGATAGAAGGATCTCGAGTTTGAGACTAGCTGGGACTACAAGGGAACTGCTTCAACACACACTCAGATGAGTACCTTCAAGAGTAACATCTTTTTTGGGGGTGGGTGAGGGGAGTTAAGACAGAGTGACCAAGAACCAGGCTGGTTTTGAATCCCAGATACCTGCCTGCCTCTCAGCCCTGGAGAGCTGGAATTTAAGGGAAATGTCACCACTCCACATCATGCTCAGCCCCTTATCTTTTTTTAGTCAAGCAGGTTTAAACAAAGTTTACCCAAAAGTAACATATTGACACTCACATGGTATTTAAAAAGCACATCCTCCAATGAACACACAACCTAGCTAGAACCCTTCCCTAGAGGCGGCGGCACTTTCCTTTTACGATTCCAGAATATTTTTAGAGACTAATGCAGAAGTTCTGCAGCTGTGGAAACTTACCAGCCCTTGCTTAGTTCACTATTCAGCTGTAGGAATCCTACTCACCTGAATATTCCAATCTTTCCCTCACCACCTCCTCCCCTACCAACAAAACAATTTTTTTCACTTGATTAGGCTTGAAGGTATATCAACACCATTCACTAATGGTTAATTCCGTATCATCCATTAGAGGCAGCATCTACAATTCTAATTCTAATTTTCTTAAAATCATATGGTAGCATACTCCTACAACCCTAGCCCTGGGAGGTTGAGGCAAGAGGTTCAGTAGTTCAAGGCCAGACTCTGCCTTTAAAAAATAAACAAATAGGCCGGGCAGTGGTGCATGCCTTTAATCCCAGCACTCAGGAGGCAGAGGCAGGCGGATCTCTGTGAGTTCCAGGTCAGCCTGGTCTACAGAGTAAGTGCCAGGACTGTTACACAGAGAGAAACCTTGTTTCGAAAAACCAAAATAAACAAATTAAGGGAAGCTGGGCAGTGGTAGTACACCTCTTTAATTCCAGCATTTGGGAGGCAGAGGAAGGCAGATCTCTTGAGTTCGAAGACAGCCTGGTCTACACAGTGAGTTCCAGGACAGCCAGGGCTACACAGATAAACCGTTTCCCAAAAACTGGGAGGAAAAAAAAGGAATAAATTTCTTCTACAACTCATACATCAACGAACCCAAGGATACAGCTCAATGACAGATTAAATGTCTACCATGTGCCAATTGTTGGATTACATCCTAAACATCTCTCCCCAAATAATACATGCATTAAGGAAAGCCAATGTAATTTCTCTACCAGTGACTATTAACCTCTACATGTGTATATCATCTGCATGTGTGTTTATTGTGTACTAGTGACTGAACCTCAAACCCTGCTGAGAGAAAATCCAGGCCCATTTTTAAAAATTTTAAAGCAAAGTCCATGAAAAGGTAACACTCCTGACAGAACCAAAATGGTGAAAACACAATTTAAAAACTGACATAGCTAATTCTTCGGCACACTTGATTTAAAAGAAAGCACGAGGCCCTACATGGTGGCACATGTCTTTAATCCCAGCATATGGGAGACAGTGGCAGGCTGTGAGTTCAAAGTCAGCCTAGTCTACATCTTAACAAAAAATGAAAACAAAAACATGGGGTAGAATGGCTCACTAATCTGCCATTTGATGGCTACTTAAAATACTGAATTTCTGAGCCTGGTATTCATGATAAAATACAGCAGTAGTTGCTGGATAGTGGTGCACGCCTTTAAGAACTCAGGAGGCACAGGCAGGCAGATCTCTGGGAGTTCGAGGCCGGCCTGGTCTACAAAGTGAGTTCCAGGACAGCCAGGGCTACACAGAGAAATCCTGGAGGGCGGGGTGGGGGGAAACAGCAGTAGGTAAGTGAGGTATTGGCACTCACTGCTGTATTTTACAAGAATATTTATATTCTGTAGTTCTGATCTGCTTCAGATAAACATTCACCTTTGACAATTAGACTTGATGGACCCCGTAAAGCAGGGGTTCTCAACCTTTCTAATGCTTCGACCCTTTAATGCAGTTCACGTTGTGGTGACCCCCCCCAACAATAAAATTATTTTTGTTGCTACTTCATAACAAATTGTAACAGTAGCAAAATTAGTTAACATTTGTGTCTTCCAATGGTCTTAGTCAACCCACAGGCTGAGAACCATTGCTGCAAAAACACTGAGATGCTCCACAAAATCTCAACTGTATCTGAAAAACCATTTTGGTCCTGAAAGGAAACAGAAATATTAAAGGTGTTTTGATGTTTAATACCATTCTAGAGTACCCCTGAAAGACAGTACCATATCAACTTTGAAATAAAAGCTCAGAAATGTTTTACCATCTCCACTATTTTCTTTGGCGCACGCCTTTAATCCCAGCAATCAGGAGGCAGAGGCAGGCGGATCTCTGTGAGTTCGAGGCCAGCCTGCTCTACAAAGCAAGTTCCAGGAAAGGCGCAAAGCTACACAGAGAAACCCTGTCTCGAAAAACCAAAAAAAAAAAAAAAAGGGGGGGGGGGCAAGAATACAGCTCAGTGGTAGAATGCCTACCTAGCATGCATGAGGCTGCAGGCTCAGCTCAATCCCCAGTGCCACAAAAGCAAACCTCAAAGTAGAGGTAGTTATTCTTTAACTCTTAGGTTAGAGCAGTTCTCTCTTGTGGTGACACTGGCCCCCACCCAAGGCAGGGTCTTGCTCTCTAACCTGGACTGGACTCTGCAATGGGATTACAGGTGCTACCACACCAGCTTAGTTGAGTCCTTCCCCTCAGTGTAATGACTATCATTCATCATAGAGAGCACTGGCTACTCCTGCATCCACATGGGTGATCACAACCTTGTATAACCCAGTTCCTGTTGATCTGACACTTCGGGCTTTCTACTGGCACCATGCATGCATGTAGTGCACACACATCCACACAAACAAAACACTCATAAAATAAAGGGGGCGAAGTGGTATTTCAGTAGCAAATGCAAGGGAGAAAGCTCTTTTGTGTGTGTAAGACTTAACGTACCAGTTTTGCTAGTATCAAGGATAAAGTTCTTAAATTCTCTGAAAAACACTAAGCTGCTAATAAAACTTTCAGAGCTATGCAACAGTTTACTATTTAGAATACTCCACTCCAACCTTTCTTTGCAACACTGTTATCAACTGATCACTACTCTGCTTTTGGAATCCCAACTGTTCTCAGGCCCCTGGGAGACCAACCTGAGTTACACTACCCCCTCAAATCCAAGAGCGTCCCAGGTGCAGTCCCTTGCCTGTAGCCCAGCTAGAGTGGAAGCCAAAGCAGAAGAGTGGGTTGAGCCCAGGGGGTCCCAGGCTGGCCTGGGTAAACAGTGAAACACTACCAGAAAACCTCCAAGTGTTATACCAATTAAAAATACTAGCAGTTAAAATGAGGCCAAATTTTTGAGATTTTAAATGAAACTTCCTAAAGGAAGCAAAAATTTCAGTCATAAAAGACTACATACTATTTCAATTATACACAACCCAAGAGCATAAAAATCTATAAAACATAAACATGATCTGTGACTTCCAAGGTCTGAAATAGAGAACAGGTCAGCATATGGAATGACTTAGTATGTACATCTTTTTGAAATTATAAAAGTGTTTCTAAAGTTGAGTTGTAATACTCTGAAAACTCATACTAAAATCTGTAGAAATATCACTTTAAACAGAAGTTAATGGATGTTATGAACTGGGTATGGTGGCTCATAGCTGCCATCCCAGCAGTTGGAGGCAGAAACATCAAGATCCTCGAATTTCAAGGCCAGCACAGTCTACAGAGACCCTATGTCCAAACAAAACCATCTTGTAGGCACAGGAGAGTTAAGAGGGCAGCCTCCTGTACATATCCAGTTGCAAGCTAATATCAAGAGCCTGTTTCAAAAAACCAAAAAAGATGTTTATAATGTAATCCAGTCAAGAAAATGTGGGCATATCACTTAGTTCTTTATAGCAGAGTCTGAGTTCTTTGCATTTTAAAAGCCCATTAAGGATCTGCTTTTTCTAGGTGGCATGGGCACTAGTGCAGGCTAACTTCCAGACCCAGGGTGTTCTTTTTCCTTTTTAACCCATATTCAATGAAAAATTACCGACACGGTTCTGATTTAAGGACCCGCAAACACCTCCACCAGCACGCGATTAGGCTAGGCTTTTGTTGTTGTTCAAAACATCACAGTTCCGACACTTGTTTTCAACATCCTAGCCATCAAATCAAAACGAATATATTTGACTTCCGGCCTTAATCACAAGTCGACACAAAACAACTCTTGGGAGAATTAACTACATAAAACCTTACTGAACGATCCACCCCGGCCTAAAAGCAGTCCCACAGTTCCCCCGGACCCAGCCTTTTTGAAACACACCCACTTCATCCCATTCCTATCTGGTAGGCCGCTCACTTCTCTTACAAAATGAAACTCTCGGTAAACATCTAATGTGGGGGGGGGGGGGGACGGACGACCCTCTGGAGATGCGTACGTACTCCATCCGCAGGTCCAAATCTGGACTCCGAAGGCCGGCTAAGCATCCTTTACCTCTCCTCCTGGAGACCGTCCGTTTATCTAGCTTGCCCTAGAGCCCAGAGAACTAGGGGACGCCCCGCCTCCGGCCCGGGGCCAGACCCGGAGCACAGGCCACCTCGGCCACCGAGCCGCGCAATTACAAAGGAGGACCGCCGTCCGCCTTTGTCCTGCCTCGGGAGCTGGAGCGCCCCCGTCGCCGCCGGCGTCTCCTGTCCCCAGCTCCCCCTGTCTCCCCCTGGGAATCTGCGTCAGCCGTGTCACCAGCAGCAGCCCGGCCAGCCCAGGGAGTCGTCGTCCCCCCCCACACACACACCCCCGGCCCGCCGCTTCGAGACCACGGAGGACCGAGGCCGCCGTGGGAGGCCGGGCCGCGCCGCGCCGGGCGCCATTTCCACCCGGGAGCGCGTCCCGCTCGCCCTCCTCCTCCCTACCGGAGAGCTCGGGACTCACCCGCCCACAGCTCCCAACCCCCCGGCCCTTCCCCAACACTTTCCACCGGCCGGAGACGACCGAGTTAGGCCGAGCCGGGAAAGGCGGGAAGGCGACCCCGGCAGCCCACCGGCCCCAAGATGGCGGCAGCCGAGCGGCGGGGAGAGCGAGCGGGCGGGCGAGCGGCGGGAAGACAGCCCCGGAGGCCAGCCGACGCCAACCCTCCCTCCCCCGCCGCCGGGGCCCTCGTCCTTCTCCCGCCTCGGCTCTCGGCACCGCCGGCCCAACCTACCCCCTTCTACTTCAAGATACCCTGTGAGGCGCTAGTAACGCCGACGCCGACGCTCGCGGGCAGGGACGGCGGGCTCGTCCGCGGGGAGCGCTCCCGACAACGGTTTTTTTGTTGTTTTTTTTTTTTTTCTCCCCCCCTCCAACCGTCTCCGCCGCTGACAACCGCTCGGGGAGCTGCGCAGCACAGACACTGGCCACGGGGGATGGGAGGGAGCGAGCGAGCGAGCGAGCGGGCGGGCGAGGAGGAGGGGGCGGGGCCGAGCGCCCCGGCCGGCCGCCCCGCCGCCCGCGCTGCTCTCGCGAGACTTGACTGACAGGCCGGTCTCGGCCAGGGCGGGGCGACCTGCACCTGCGCACTCGGGGCCCTTGCCCGGCTGCCTGGCTGCGGCCGGCTCCGTACCTCTCTGGCTTAACCCGACGGCCCCGCGGGTCCGCCGAGCTCGCCTTTTAGGGAGGGCGTGAGTCGGTTCTGAGGGGAACCGTGATGCCGCGGTTTGCTGGGGCTCTTTCCGGCTCCGCTGGGAATAAATCCCATCAAGGCCCGGCGTGGAAGGAGCCACGTGGTTCTGCCCCCCAACACCAGGGAAAGGCTTTTTTTCCTCGTCCACCATGCTTGCATTATGCAATCGGAAAGAATGCGTGTTTGGCCTCAGAAGATACCCAGATACGAAGATACCCAGCAGGATGTCGGTCCCAGCCTGGCGTTTTGCTCTCAGTGCGGAGCCCGCCGTGACCTCTTGATTGGTTTCCTGCCTGCCACGTTTAGTTTTTCTCTTCACTAAACCCAGGGACAGATCAGGGGCCCAGGGCAGTTGACTTCGTTTTCTAAGTAGAGTTTGGTGTTCCTGAAAATGATGCTTCACAGGCGACACCTAAGGAACGCCTTTTGAGGTTCCGTGCTGGTACCACGGTTCCTCATGACACCCCTAGGCCTTTTTAAGTTTTAACACAAATGGCACATGGAAAATCTGTGGGAAGGTGGAGAGCAATCTTGGGGGAAGAGACTTAGAGCAGGAGCTGGAGAGATGGCTCAGCGGCTAAGAGCACTGGCTGCATGCACCCCCAGAGGTACTGAGTTCAATTCCCAGCAACCACATGGTGGCTCACAATCATCTATGCCCTGTTCTCACAAAGAGTTGTACATGCAGATAGATCTCTCATATGCATAAAATAAATTAAAAAAAAAAGACTTAGAGCAATTAATGGGCAAAGAGAAGATGAGTTATAGGCCAGGCAGGACGGGTGAACGCTGTAAACGTGAATGTGAATGGGGATACATTGTAGTCATCCTTCATTTGTTCAGTTCAAAGATTTCTTTGTGCTAAAGAGACTGGGAAGCCCATCAGGAATGGAGTGGGGCTGGAAGGGGACCTTAGCAGTGGAGAAGAATAAGTTTTATTTACCATGAGATTTTTTTGTATGTTTAGACTGGAGCCAGGAGGCCAATTACTTAGTTTCTGGTATGGAAATTTCCATTTCACAGCTTTAATTCATCTTCAAACCTACTTAAATTTCTTTAGTACTCTACTGATTTTAACCCGGAGTATTCCTCAGAGGAAGTGGTGGTGGTGGGGTGGGCAATGTGATTATAATTCCAGACAAGAAACCCAAAAGATGTTGCAAAAGCCGTAATAGCTCGGGTTTATTAAGAACTTACTGGAACTAGGTATGGTTAGCAAATCATTGTCTTTGTTCTTGGGTAGTCAAGGATATCCTTGAACTCCTGACCCTCCTACCTCCATGTCAACTGTGTCTCTATAGCCCTAAAAGGTGGTATTCATTTCACAGATGCTGTGCCTAATCCCAGAACAATGAAAATAGTTGCCGAAGGTATAGAGCCGAGTGAGTGATGCAACTCTAAACCTTTTTTTTTTTTTTTTTTTTTTTTTTTGTGGTTACAAGTAAGTTAGTAGTTCACTGGTTGGAGACTTTGGGTGAAGTTACCCTATTGTTACTATAACCCCCTAAGGTCTCCCCTTTCTTTTAATAGCTGCAGATTGAATTTAGGGCCCAAAGCATGTTCTCCCTTTAAGAAGTAATTAGTTTATTAGCAAAACTCGGAGCTCCACACTTAGGGTGAATTCTCCCCAGGGCCTTCCTTCCCTGGATTTAAATTACATGGCTTCTTTATTCTTTCATTCTTTCAACCCGATTTGGTAGGTGGAATTCTGTAATCCCTTTCGCTCTTCGCCTGGAATTCAGTCCACTTACTGCCTGAATGAATTTGGCATTCTTTGCACACACTTTGTGTGGTTATGGGTGACAAGCCTCCCATCATTCTCCTGAATCTGATGTATGACTTTTCACCACCCAGTAGTGATGTTTCTCTTGGAGGGTTTTTTTTTTTTTCATAATTTCTTTATGGCGAGCGCTCTTTACAAATACTATGAAGATTTAGAAGGCCTTTTGCCTTTTTATTACAGCAAGTAGGAATTTTTTAGTTTAAAGATGCATTATGCCGTGGTAAACGTAATTTTTTCTTAGCTTCCTCCCCCACACATTTGAACCCTGTTAGTAAGGCTTGGTGCCATTGGACCCTGCTGCTTCTCCAGTGATGCCTGCAGAATTGTTTCCAGATGGATCGCTAAGGAACTGTTTCCATGGAGATGGTTACAACTCAGGGCTCCCAGCGGCTTTCTTGATCGCCCCTGTCTTTTTACCCTTCTTCCCTCCCCTTCCCCCATCTCCCTACCACCTCTCTCTTTCCTCTCTGGGCAGAGAGATCAGAGGGACCCTGAAGGGGATTTTTGTTACAGTTCACAATAAGAGAAATGAAGCAGGAGGAGGAAATGGAAGTACCCAGCCTCCCAGAGGAAAACAATCCGAGGCACACGTGACCATGTATTAATCCATCAGCATGAAAAGGAGAGGAAAATTCCATGCAGGCCTGTCTGAAAATGAAAGAGAAACTGAGAGATTGCATTCTCTTGGGGCAGACAGAGCACATTAGCTCGAAACTAGTTTACAATCGATGTTCATATATCCCTAATGATATATCATTAACATGGGATTATCATAACCATTTTGCCCGTATGAAAACAAACCCAGAACAAAACAAGCCACAGAAACGTACTGGCTTTGTGTCTAATCAGTGTTTAATGGCTTTGTAACAACAGCTCTGACAAAACCTTCCTGAAGGGCTTCTTTGGTTTATGCCCGGCTATCTGGTGTCTTTAGGAAAGGACACCTTCTTCTCATGACCATCATTGTTTCTCAGGGCAAGGCTTTCGGGGAAAGATTTCATTCTTGAGACTTTGTTTAAACGACTTCACTGGGAACTATGGAAACCAAAGACCTCATCTAGGATGATTCTAAGGACAAAAGGTAGCCCTACGGCAGGAAGCACCTCGCCCATTCATTGTCTGTGCATGGAGGCCAGAGCGCAAGCGTCTTTAACAGTGTGTGTGTGTGTGTGTGTGTGTGTGTGTGTGTGTGTGTGTGTGTGTGTGTGTGGTGTTTACAGTGCAGGTGTGAAGGGCAGAGGACAGCTTTCGGGGGTCGGTTCTCTCCTACCATGTGGGTCCTGGGGAGTCAGGGTGGTAGGCTTAGTGGCAAGTGTCTTTACCTGCTGAGCCGGCTCACCTGCCCCGACCACCTCTTCATGAGACAGAGTCCGTCATTGGCCTAGGGGTTGCCCAGGCCAGGCTGGCTGGTCAGCGAGCCCCCCGAGATTCTCGGGTCTCGGCCCCATGTCCAGCTTCTTCTTCTTCATGGGCTCAGACTCAGCTCCTCATGCTTGTAGGGCAAACACTCTGCCAGATGAGCCATATCTTCAGCCCCGTGTTTGAAAATAGTTCCAAGTGCTGAACATTTATTCTGCTCCAGTGATTCCTGTGGGTGCCAAGGGGTGGAGGGTGGGGCAGGAAAGATGAACCACCACAGTGACTTTTAGAATATTTAAGTGGGCAACTTAAATGTAGAAAATTCAGCATAGACCGTTTCTCTCAACACAATTTTATAGTTTTCTATGTGGGCTGCTTTTTGGGACTTGTTACCTAGCCCAGGCTCCTCTGGTGGTCTCCGTTCTACTGGTTCAGTCCACACGTGCTATTGACAAGTGTGCATCACCACACCTAGCTGTTAAGCATCTTTTTGTTCAAGATTTAGGTTTATGTATATGTGTGTGTGTGCATGTCTGCATGAGTTTATGTGCACTGTGTGCTCACAGGTACCCCCAGAGGCCAGAAGGCATTGGATGCCAAGGAAACTGGAG